TAAATTGTGCACAACAAAGATCACTATCGCCTCTATTCTTGCTTCCCAGATATCACCAGGACCAAGTTCGGTGATGAATTTTAAGATAGTCCTTGACCTGAGGGGTTCACTTGCTTAACCAGTGGTTGCTTTAACTAGTTGGTTAATATTAGACCCAGGTAGCTCGTCACTTACCTAAATGGGATAGAGTGCTACATTAAATCATATATTCCTTGCTATTTGGCATCGTGGTTTGGGTATAATTAGCTTTATTTGGTAACCAAATGAAAGGTTTCTATACTCTAGGAGTCTCGTGGACTGAGCCCACACTTGGTACCACTTTGCTGCTAGGAGTACCAGAGCCAAGTTCATCTTACCATGACAAACCCCTAGCTGCTACCTGACTTTAGGGTTTATAGTACAACGCGGTGAATGTTCCGAGTCTACACTTTAAGATAAACATGACCGGAGCATGGTGGATCATTCGAAAGTACAAGGAAGCTTCAAGGAAGAGATCCAAAAGTAAAGTGCTTGAACTCTATGAATATCTTGTAGAGGTAGAGCTATATGAGGATGATAATGATTCATACGCCCATCAAGAAGTCACAATGGTGTAAACCTATCGTATTAGCATACGGGAGTAGATGGCCCATACGGGAGCAGATGGCCCATACGGGAGTGGTGGGTGGAGATACCCATGGGAAGAGATCATGACAATATTAGCTCCCCTAAGAAACACCCAAATGTCAATGCTTGGAGTTGCCAATGAAGGAGAAGTCTCTGACAAAAGAGAAATCTTCTGAGGCTTCAGCACATGAACCAGTGGCCAAGTATATGGCTGCTTCAGGTAAATTTCCTTATTTATCGTCATTTTAATTCAATGAATATGCGCTCTAATGATGCATTCTACTTGCTTGCAGATAAGGAATCTATATGAGTCGATTGAATGGATTTTGAGCGGGAAGAGAGGATCGACTATGATACCGATGCTTACATCACCGACCTTGATGAATCCGCTTGAGAAGATGTTGTTAACAGATCTTCTTACATCTCGGGTATGATTTCATTCACAAGGATGATGTAGCCATTTCAACTTGACAATTGGCACTTCATCTCTTTCCTTTTGTAGATATTGAACTTGAACTAGAAGTTAGTACCACAATGACCACACTTTCTCCCATTGCCGAGTCCGTTACTAGGCATCTGGTCTATGTTGAAGACTCATCCAAATCTGATGGAGATGTATCAATTTCTCTATTTCCCCAAGGAGATGAGATGGGGTTTAAGCCAAAATCCAAGCCTCAAGTTGAGAGTGGACCTACAGTGATGGCAGAGAAGCTTGCCGAACCAAAAACCGATGTTACCGCTATTAGCAATGAGCCTGCAATCATAGCTATGACAACAACATTGGTTTTACGACATTCTAAGCCTTTAGTCATGATGACTCCGACTTCTTCTATGCTCATTGATATTTTGAGCATGTTAGCTTCACTTGCTCAGTTCTTCATGTCAAGCAGGGATTAACTCCAGACAACATTAATTACACATCCTGTCATGACTGAGGCTTTGGCTGTTACAACTAAAGAAGGCTCATTAAGGCAGGTAGAAATTTCTTTATCTCCAGACTCTGATGATTTAGCCAAGTCGGAGATCTAGATCTTGGCTGAAAGCATGATGAATATGTTTAGCCAGAGTGTCAAGAGTGCTCTGGCTGCCAGTAAAGGCCTATCTTCCTACACTAAGCATTTGTTACAGAGTTAGCTCGACATCCTTGAGTCAGCTGCCAGAGTTGAACGTGCTGAGCCTTACAAGAGAATGATCGACTAACCTGAACTCCAGTTTCTAGAGTTGTAGATTCTTCATGAGGCCGATGTCACTGCTGTTGTGGCTTGAGTTGCATTGCCTGATGGTAAAGTGTCGTAGGCTTTAGGAGACCGTACGTCCACAAGGAGGAGGAAGAAGTTAGATAGCCAATTAGGACTTAACCACTTGCCTTGCTGCAATTGATGGTGAGAATTCTAAAATAACCAATGCCATCTTCGAAAAGAAGGCCACCATTAACGTGGCTAAGGCTATCAAAGCTGAAGCGCAAGCCAAATTGGAGACAGAGAAAAAACAAAAAGAGGATCTCGAGGCTAAGTCTGTAGAGTTGGCCGCCGAGTGGGCTCATAGAGTGGAGCGTTTAAAGTGAGCGAGCCCGATTGGATGCTATTAACACCCAAGCAATTCCAGCTGATCCAGAACCTTTAAGGGAGCAAGCTTTGAAGGTCACCCTTGATGTGCATGAGGTAAGAATACCAAGTGTGTTGAGCACATCAGGTCTTTGTGACACCCGTAATTTTTGGCTTATCTCCATGTTGCTTTTTTACTTTTGTAATAACTTTGCTCTTTTAGCAATAAAGAACTTTACTTTTGATTTTCAGAGTTGAACGATAAAGGTGTAATGTTAACATATGGTATAAAGTTTAGAATTGATAATAACTCTGAGGGGAAAATGGCTGAGTTATAAGGTTCAACTCGCCAAAGAGGAGTCGACAGAGGTGTAGACTGTGTAGTGTTAACCCGTCAATGGAGCCACACTAATAGAGGTGTAGTGTGAATGTATTAGGTTTGTAGATTTATTACTATTTAGAGGTGTGATGTTAATATATTAGTATTGAGAAATTTGACAGAGATGTAGTGTTAACGTATCAAATAGAACAATCGATAGAGGTATAGTGTTAACTGGTCGGATTCAAGGAAGTCTAAGGGACAACTACTATTTAGAAGTATAATATTAACTTAACTGTATAATAAATTGAAGAGTATAATGTTAGATGATCCATTTTGGAAGAGGGACCGATAAAGGTGTGGTTTAACTGGTTAGATCCGAAGATTCGCAAACTGTTTAGAGGTGTAATGTTAATATGATAGTGGAAAGGAATTCCCAATGTTACATAGAGGTGTAGTGCTAACTTGATAACTTGCTGGGAGATTTTGTTGAGATTAAGTTATGATAGTTTTGATTAGGAATTCATTCTGTGGTCAGAGGTAAAAACTCAAACATGACTGATATCTCTGTGGGAATATGAAAAGGCTCAATTCAAAGGTAATGTTTCTCAATAAATTTTTCGTTCATTGGTGCCAAAGCCTGTTACTATTCGGATCGATCAGGTGGTATACCCCATTTGAATAGACTACCTCTAATATAAATGGACGTTTCCATTTGGGTTAAAATTTGCATTTGGTCTTATGTGTCATGACCATGGGTTGACGAACAGCTAAGACCAAGTCTTCTTCTCTAACTGATCATTCTTTGACTCTCCTATTGAATGCTCTTGATATCCGAGATTGATATATCTTGATTCGTTGTTGAGCTTTTAGTCTCAACTCATTCAGTGTCTCTAGTTTTTGAAGCTGCTTCTGATGGTGTTCTTCTATCATCATTTTGTCTATGAGCACGATTCTCAATGACATAATTTGAATCTTTAGTGGTACTACCACTTCACATCTGTATACCAAGGAGAAGGGCGTAGCGCTTATGGGAGGCGGACTGTTATTTGATAAGCCCAAAGATACTCTCTAAGTTTCTCATCCTAATCTCATTTGTTGGAAGAGATGAACTCCTTGAGAAGATTGATGATGGTCTTGTTGAATGCTTTGGCTAGACCATTAGCAATCAAATTATATGTCGTAAAAGTCACATCTTAGATTCTATATTTGTCACACAATTTGAAGAATGACAGACTGATGAATTGCGGTCATTGTCATGGACAATCCTCCCAGGGACATCAAAATCAGTAAATGACGTAGTGTTTTAGGAATTTGACCACATTGGAAGTCTTGATGTAATTGAGCGAGATGACTTCGGCTCACTTGGAGAAGTAATCGGTGATGGCCAGAATGAATCTATGGTCTTTAGTGGATGGTGGGCTAATTGGCCCGATAATGTCCATTCCCCACATCTCAAATGGCCATGAAGTGATAGTCAGATGTGCGAGGATCCAATGTGATATGCTTGAGCTATGCAGTTTTAATATGGTGCGTTGAATTGGAAATATTGTGACACATAAGCTTGATCGAAAGGCTAGGATGTTCTCAGCAACTCAGATATGGCTTGAAGATCCTCTTGATTTTATTATTAGTGCTTTACATTTTGATTCTGAGCACGTGTAAGCTTGACCGCAATGTAGCTCTAAAAAAATAGTCATACTACCTCTTTGACGGCAATTGAGAAAAAAATCTAAGCAAAATATCTGAAGCCAAAAAGTGATTCAGATCGTTAGCGCTCTAATGCCATGTTGATGTTAAAAGATAAGAAATGTAGAAGAATTATGAATAATTTCATTGATATTGATTTCAATAATTTAAAGTTTGCCCTTGCTGAAATTATAATATTGGTGGTGCATGATTGGGGTGTTGAACCATGATATGGGCTAAATAGAACCAAAGCAAAAGTGATAAGGACCTAGTGGAATGAAATAATAGTTTGAGGGCTTAATGGAAACTTAAGTCAAACTAGGGGCGCTTATGAGTTCTTTCCTTCGGCCTCTCACGATTTGAAGGACTAAAAAGTAAATTTTTTGAAGATACGTGGGACTACTATCTAAGCGCAAGTGCAGCAGCCTCCCAAGAGGGCTCCTAAGTCCTATGTGGCAAGGAAAAGCTCCCAAGACCTTCCAACAAGCTCTCAAGAAAGCTCCTAAGTCCTAGTTGGCGGTGGGGCCCACCATGGAGCTCCTAAGAGCTCCACAAATTTGTGGAGCACTTGGGAGCTCCTAAGGGGTGGGCGCTCATTAAAAACTATTTTTTTATTAGATTTGTTGTTTTAAAATATATTTGTAAAATGTTATTTTTAGGAGAATGAATTTTTTAAATAATATTTGAACTCCTAGTTAGGAGTTTGTTGGAATATTTCTCCTAGTAGGAAGCTCTTAAGTGGGCCCCATGCTTGAGAGCACTCCAACAAGAGCTTCCTACTAGGACATTGTTGCACTTGCTCTAAATAACCCTGTCCATTATTATTTCTTATGGCTACGGTAGATACAAGATAACAAACTGATACCAATCACCAACGACCACAATTCATTCAGTACCAAAAAAAAAACAACACCCAAGCACCTTGATGGCGGTCACCACCTCCTCCCTCCACTTCCACCACCACCTCCTCCGCCGCCAAACCCCCCTCTGTCTCCCCTCTCTCCGGAAACCCACCTGCCTCCTCCTCACCAAAGACCGAAACAAGAATCGGGCACTGAAGAGCAGCTTAGCTGAGCAATGCCAGAGCCAAGGGCAAGACCTCAAATTGAAAGGGCTTGTGGATTTCTTGTACGACGACCTCCCTCACCTCTTCGATGACCAGGGGATCGACCCCTCGATGTACGACGATCGGGTCAACTTCCGGGATCCCATCACGAAGCATGACACAATTGGTGGCTATCTGTTCAACATTCGGCTGTTGAAGGGTCTGTTTGATCCGAAGTTCGAGCTTCACAGTGTCAGGCAGGTGATTTTCCTTGGCTCAGAGAGAGAAGGAAACATGTGATACTCGTAGATTCCACCCACGGCCAACAACCCCTATTTTTTTAGCACTGTATTTTAAACTTACTTCTCTCTAAGTTTTAATACATTTGATTTAATTATTGCATACTTAAAATTAGAAATTATATCTGCTTCTCTATATTTAACTTAAAGAAGGATCCAAATTTTAATACATTTGATTTAGAAATCATATCTACTTCTCTATACTTAAAGAAGGATTTGGGTTTTAATACATTTGATTTGCTTAATTGTTTGTGATACAGTAAATTACTATAGAATAAATATTAACTTTAACTGTGGAAGAACAGATTTAATTTACTGTTTACACTACAGTAAAAAATATAGTATGAACTTCGAGTGTAGAGAACCAGATTTGATTAACTGTTCATGCTACAGTATTTAGTGTAGCATTACTATAGTATAAAACAGTAATTCTTTGGGTTCCTCTTTAAGCGTAGAGGAGTAGATTTACACTTGATCAATCGCTGCCATTGTCTTTGCAAACATTTAGCATATATTTGAGTTCCGTGGGAAAGAAGTATTCTGTGACTTGGCTTATACATTTGAAAAACCACTAAACAAGTAGTTTTAATCATAATGGACATAATTCAATGTTCAATAACTTATATCATGACTAGCAAAATTCTGCAGTGATCATGGTCTTTTGGTTAAGTTAGAAAGAGCAGAATTAGATCTTTCATGGATGATCCAGTGCTGCAGCATAATTTTGGTTCTTGCATTCTGATAAGCAAATGTGACTTTCTTCTTCTTGTACATCTCTTGGTTTCAAAGCTATGTCTCTGCATCCATTTTTTGAATCTTACTATTTCACTTATAATATGGGCTAAGGTCCCTATTTGTCTTAAAAGAAGTGATTAATTGAAAGGGAGAAATTAAAGGCCAATTTGGTCCTTGTAATAGTGCTTCATACTCATATTGGTTCCCATACTTTATTTTTCTTAACTTTTCCTGTACTGGAGCTTTATACTCAAATTGGTCGCTGTAGTCTATTTTTTTCTCAACTTAACCCTATACTAGGGCTTCATACTCAAATTGGCCCCCTACTTTATTTTAACTGTTAGCATTTTGCTGTAAACTCCCAATAACTCTCAACATTACACTAAATCCTCCAAGAACTTTCAAAAATCTCCCTACACCCCATAACTTTCAAAATCACACTAAACCCCCCAATAACTTCCAAATCACACTAAACGCCCAATAAATTTAAGAATTGCTGAAATTCCTCAATAAGTTTTTGTATTTTGCAGATAAGCCCATAAATTAGAACCAAATAACAACATAAAAATGCATTTTGAATGCAAATTTTAGCAAAAGAAAAAAATTAGGGTTCATGACCCTAACCCGAGTGAGTAAGAGGAAAATGAATCACAAATAATGAGATATTTCTATATTTAGGATTGAAAATATAAAAAGGTCACAAATGACTTTTTTAATAATTTAAGGGGTATTTTGTCTTTTTGAGAGATGTGGGTTGCATATGCAATGTCAGACGTCATGATGTTAATTCTGAGGGTTTCTGCAAAATTTATTGGGAATTTAGTGTGATTTTGAAAGTTATTGGGTTTAGGGTGATTTTTAAAAGTTCTTGGAGGGTTCAATGTGATGTTGAATGTTATTGGGAGTTTAATGCAAAATGTTGAAAGTTCAAACAAAGTAGGAGGCCAATTTGAGTATGAAGCCCTAGTACAAGGTTTAAGTTGAGAAAAATTAGAGTAGAGGAACCAATTTGAGTATAAAGTTCCAGTGCACGGGCCAAGTTGAGAAAAAATAAAGTAGAGGAACCATTTTGAGTATGATGCCCTAGTACAAGATCCAAATTGACCTTTTAGCCTAATTAAAATGACAACATTTAACTATATCAAACATTCATAGTTTTATGAGTGAAAACCCATTGCTATAAATTTTCTAAGTAGTTTAATTTGTGACGGCAACAAACTTTATTGATACCATTCTCTAAAGAACTGCAGAATTTAGATTTAATTTGTGCCTTGATGTGTATTTTTGTTGTAACTCTTTGTAGTAAGTTATTACAAAGTCACCATTGACATCAAACATGAGAATACATATGTCAAACGCCACACTTCTTGGACACTTCTTAGATGTGGGCTAGAGGCTTATCAAATGTGTCCCAAATTAGATTATATACATAGGTTCAGCTACTTGCGAAAGGATTTGGAGCCAAATTCTTTCCTTTCATATTCAATATTTTTATCACTCACGTGAAAGATCGACTCCATCAAGTTTATCTGTAGTATTTGAAATGCATAAACCCAAAATGATAAATTTTTTTTAAAGTTCTTTTGCTCATCATTACTTTGGAAGGAATGATGGTTATCTAAGTATGGCGTTGATTCACTGTATGAACAGATAATATTTTCAAAGCTTAGTATAACGGTCAAATAGTTTAACGGTACCAGTTAACTCTAAAATTTTGGATTCTTTTGGTGGGTGGGTGCGGCGGGGTTTTTTTTGTTGGGCGGGGGTTGATATTTTGCCTCTTTGAGCTTTTAGAACATCTATCGGAACGGAATTCACAGTTTAATCATAATTTTGTTATGAATTCTGCTTGAATCGAGCAAAAAATGTGATTTCTAACTCGATTATCATCCTTTTTTCAAAGAATATTTAGCTTGGTGCAAGCATGATCTTAAACCCATGTCTCATGTCGTGCCAGCTTCAAGGAAATTTTAGCACTGTAATAATGGCAGATTGTCTTATTTTTTCCATTGTTACATCAATTGTGTGCTTCAGTATTTTTTTACATATATAAAATAAATATGTTTGCTGCATGATATATGCAATAATTGATTGATTTCTTGTAGACAGGACCGTATGAAATTACAACAAGATGGACAATGGTCATGACATTTGTTCTTCTACCATGGAAACCACAATTGGTCTTCACAGGAGTCTCTATCATGGGTGTCAACCCTAAGACTCAAAAGTTTTGCAGCCATATGGTAAGCTCTAGTTCATTCTCTGAATTTGTTGGCAAGCTATTAAACGCTTACCATACTTACTCTTCTTTTCATCATAGGATCGTTGGGATTCCATACAAAACAATGATTATTTCTCTTTGGAAGGTTTCATAGATGTTTTCAAGCAGGTAATTTACATGGAAATTGTCAGTATATCATCTAATTTTGGTGGCTGAAACGAAATTTGTCATATTCAAGAAAATAACAGTCCAGGTTTTCTTATGCGTACCTTTGTCATCTACTTTAGCTGCGATTCTACAAGACTCCAGACTTGGAATCACCAAAGTACCAGATACTGAAAAGAACTGCAAATTATGAGGTTGTTCAAAAGTTACGAGTACATAACTTATCTTGTGTTAGTCTCCAACTAAATGGACAGATTATTCTAAATATCTTTATACTGTAAAGGTGAGGAAGTATGAACCATTTCTGGTGGCTGAAACGAAAGCAGATAAGCTCTCTGGGTCTTCTGGTTTTAATGACGTTACTGGGTGAGTAGCTGTTCATATATATTTTTTGTTTGGTTATTTTTCTCACACCTTCATTAACAAAAGCTGAACTATCAATTTTTTTAAGGTACATATTTGGAAAGAATTCTGCCACAGAGAAGATTCCAATGACAACTCCTGTCTTCACTCAGGCTCTTGACAATGAACTATCAGAAGTTTCAATCCAGATAGTTCTACCATTGAGCAAAGAGTTGGACAAGTAAGACAATCTGTAATGCATTTCAGTGCCATTCTAAATGTACGAAACACTGGTGCTAAACATAAACTTAGAAGAAACTATTTCTTCTCATAATAATAGGAAACCGAGGTAGTTTTGTTTTCTAATAAAAGTTTATCTGATCCAGTTTGCCAGCTCCTAATACGGAGGCAGTTAAATTAAGAAAAGTGGAAGGATGCATTGTTGCAGCAATGAAATTTAGTGGGACAACTAATGAGGAACTTGTGTGTAATAAAGAGAAGGAACTTCGTTCTGCACTACTTAATGATGGTCTGAAACCTCAAAACGGTTGTATGCTAGCTCGTTATAATGATCCTGGTCGGACATGGAGCTTTATAATGGTAAGGTTTCTCCTTCATCATCAACATGCTGTTTTTTCTTTTTGCATTTAAAAAGGAATGAGATGATTATTTGATATTACATGCATACGTATGATATGAGTACAGTTTCAGATTGCTTCATCTATGGGAGATTTTGATTTTCTCCCCTCCTCTCTAATATATTATTTAGAATTTCTTCATTGCTTTATTCTCATTTTGTCTTTCCAATTGAAATCCGCATGCTCATGTTGACTCAAGGGACTAAAGCGAAAGAATTTGTCATTTCCAAGTTTTGATCATCCATATTCCTGAATGTATTGAATTAGTGATGGTAATTTTTAAGTTGTTCTTGAACGGTATTGTTTGTTTTCTAGCTATTTGATCTCTTATATATGACCTTTCTGATTCATATTTCCATTGCTTCTTGCTGGCTATGCAGAGGAACGAGGTGCTGATATGGCTTGACGATTTCACATTAGAATAATTTGTACATATTACAGAGCTCCTAGAAATACTGAACATAGAAAGTCCTCATGTTGTGTACCATGGGAAGGTATATGTCTCTAAAGCACAGAAGCTATTGTTAGTCATGGAAATCCTCAGCTCTACTGCGAAGAGTTTTCTTCATTTTTTTAATTTGAAAATTTTTGATCCAAGGTGTAACAGCCCTTTCGTACGCATGTATCTATTCTCGTTCTTTGAGAAACTTGATGTTATATAAAGTTCGAAGTACAAATTGCACAATATATGACTGTTTTCAAATTGTGTCTTCAACGCGATCTGAAACGACATAACACTATCTGTTCGTATTAAAATCTATGTCAAGTGAATAGTAGGCCAGGATGTTCAAATTTGAGATGTGTTTGTTGCGTACAGCGAAAGCGGACTCAATCCACAACAAGTTGGTAAGCAATGCGAGAAGAACACCACGAGCACAATTCACAATGAAACGACCAAAACCAATTACAAACACAGAGAATTTACGTGGTTCGGCAAGTTGCCTACGTCCACGGGAAGAGGATGGAGAGATTTTACTATATGGAGGAGAAAACAATGGGTTACAACTCTCTTAAACACTCAAAATAGCCCTAATAAAAAGATCTCACTCCCTCACAATAATCTCCCTCTCAAAGTGTTCAAAACAACCTTTTTTCTCCGTTAAATCTCTCTCTCCTAACCCTAGAAAACGTGTTTCTATTTACATCAAACTCAAATCCAAAACATGCTAGGAATAGGGTTTCAGCCCGTATCCGCTATCAGTCGACCGATGCACTCTTATCGGTCAACCGATAGGTCTCCATCAGTCAACCAATAAGAGTGCATCGGTCAACTGACCAGAGGACATCCTGTAGCTGCGTTTTCTCCTGAGTTTTGCATCTCTTTGAATAATTCTCCATCTCGGCGAAGTGTTCGCAAAACTAAGCCGACACCAACATAAGCACCAATGTGTCGTCTCTCCAAATCCGACTGCACCAATGTAGTTGCTTCCGTAACTCCTCTCCCAAGGGATCAAGCCGTCTGTAGTTCATCCAAATGGCTTCGACATGCCTCAACAAGCACGAATCAGCAACAAGCTTCTACAATGATCGAACATGTTGCTAAGGACGAGCATATCAGCTGGATTATCTTTTGTGTGGACCTTCACAAGCTCCACATCCCCATCTTTAAGAACATCGCTAACGAAGTGATAATGAACGTCGATGTTCTTCGTCCTCGCATGGAAAACCTGATTGTTCGCCAAATAGATAGCACTTGTGCTATCACAATGAATGGTGACAGATCGCTACGAAACACCAAGGTCCTCCAAACGTACTTGAAGCCAAATTGCCTCCTTTATAGCCTCTGTAATCGCTATGTTTAGGTCTCATGTTATAAGCCTACATCTTCTAATCTTGTTTTGATGATTACAAACAATTCCTAATATTGTTTGTCTAGTGTTTATGATTTCTTATTAGGTATTCTAGACAAAAAATATGTTGGAGGATGGATGGAATCGAGCTTTCAACGATTATATCCAACGAAGGTTGGCGAAATAGTGGAGTGAAGCCTTGCAATTCAAGTTGAAGATCCAAGTTTAAGCTTCATCCGTAAGTTTACCAAGTCGTGCTCATTGAAGGTCTATCAAGCTTAGGTAAATTAAGTTTAGGGTTTGTATAATGTGTGTTAATTCTTTAAGCTTAAATATACACACACATTACTTTTGTGAATTTTCATGAAAATAAGTGTTTTTATGCAAAATACATTCAAATATGTTTTGGTCTATACAAACCATGTTAACATCTTCTATTATGTCCATAAAACGATTACACAATTTTTCATAACTTGTTTTGAGCTAAAATGGCAAAAACAACATATTTGAAAAACATGTATTTTAGCACTTTTAAATATTTCTGAGTTTCCAAAAATGGTAAGAGCAATTTGAAAAATTCCTTTTCCAACATGTTCATATTCATGATTATAATTTTTTCTCAAAGGTTTACATTTTTTAGAATTTATTTGCTATTTTTTAAAGCTCTTCAAAGTTTGTTTTTACTATTCAATACAGACTGAAAACTTGTTATCAGTCGACTGATGACATCAGTCGACTGTAGAATGTGCCTGTAATCTTTAAAAGTTTCTGTTCAATTTTGATCGACTGACCAGTCGACTGATGATCCATCGGTCGACTAATAAAGACAGTCAGTCGACTGATGAGCTGTCTGATGCCTACAACGATCAGCTCATCAGTCGACTGAAGCTTTACGTCAGTCGACTGATAAACCATAACTGCTATTTTTCTAGCCTTCTGTTTTTTTATCTTTTTGTTGGATTCTCTTGGTTTTTGAGCTTTGGTTTTTCATCCTATATATACCCCTCACTATTTCAGTTCTGAGTTAGTTTTTCAAGAGGGTTTTTAACAAGAGTTTTAAGTGTTTGAAAGTTTGTTTCTCAAGTTGAAGTTTGGTGTTTAAGTTTATAAAGAGGAGGCTTGCATTTTTAATTAAGGAATTCATCCGCAATCTTCTTCATCCTCTATTGTGTTTATAGAGAAGTTTTTCTAACTCTTTTCTCTAGCAATTTTATTATCATCCTCTATTGTGTTTATAGAGAAGTTTTTCTAACTCTTTTCTCTAGCAATTTTATTATTGATTTTCATATTCTTATTATTGCTAGTTTGCTAATTGAGTTAGATTTTATTTATATTCATTTCACACACACACACACCCTATTTGATCTTGTAGCATTTTATACATCATATATTAGGTTGTGGGATTATGATTTGTGATATTGAGCTTAATTGAGTTCCCATCCATAGTAGATAACAAAATTGTATTTGTGAGCCTAAATTGTAAGATACACTTTATAATATACTTGTACATCGAGAGAAGTGTGTGGTGAGAGACAGAGTCATCCCAAAAGGAGTGAGGTAGGTGGTAATGCCTAGAGGGAGGCTGTAATTCCTAACACTTGAAAAAAACACGAGCTAGAGACCAACACTTAGAGGGTGTAAAATGTGATTGTAAGAGTATGGATTGTAAAGTTTTTGGTAAGCTAGAAAACCGAGTGTGAGATGTAAACGTTATTCGGGTGAGCGTAGAAAATCCAGTTGTGATAGTGGAGATCTCCTCGAGGTGAGGAGCAAAGACGTAGGTCACAGGGACCAAATTCTGTGATCATATCTTGTGTTTGAGTTTGTCTTTTGCGCACTATCACTTGTGTTTATTTACTCTTGTTCATATATCCTTGCATATATCAAATTGAATATCAAGATTGTTAGGATATATTTTTTAATTAATTTTAATTAGCATTAATATCTAATAAGATTAGCAATAACCCTATTCACCCCCCTCTAGGATACTTTCACTCTACCTCTATCATTGACAAAGAAACTATAGACTACAAGGTGCATCTCCAACACACCGGCGCATGGGTCAAAGTAAACACATACCCCGTTATCGATCGGCGTTTGTACAAATCTCCAGCATTGTCTGAATCAACGTAACCAATACACAACTACACACCACTAGTGTCCCATTCGAACATCAAACTAATGTTGAGAGTACCTCAAATGTACCTCAAAATCCACCTCACGGCATCCCAATGACCCAGACCCGGGCCATGCATGTATCATGAAACCATGCTTACTGTCTGTGATAGATCCGGCCTCGTACATACCATGATGTACATGAAACTTCCCACTACGCTCGTATAAGGAGTCTTCGATATCAACTCTCTGTCTTCAACTAACTTTGGTGAAAGATCAGCTGAAAGCTTTAAATGGGCTCCCAAAGGTACACTGACTGGCTCGTCTCCATACTCACATTGAATTGTTATAACACCTTCTTTAAATAAGCCACTTGTATCAAACAAATTCTGCCATTATCTTTGTCTCTGCCGATCTCCATCCCCAAAATACGCTTTGATTCACTCAAATCCTTCATCTCAAACTCACTCGAAAGCTATATCTTCAATTCATTTATGGCGGGTCTAGAAATAGAAGCAACCAATATGTCATCGACATAAAGCAACAAATAAATATATGCACACTCATGTAACTTATGATAGTACATGTAAGGATCAAACTGGCTCATAATGTATGACTTGCCGATCATAAACCCATCGAATCGCCTATACCACTGTCTTGGAGATTGCTTCAACCCGTATAACGATTTTTTCAATCTACACACCAATTTTTTCTTCCCTACA